CTCCTATTGGGTTACCTTGTCCAGCCTCAATATGAGGGCTTTGGCCTTCTCTTATTGTGTCTTATTTTGTTCTATTTGACTATCCACTCTTGTAATCCTGCTCTTTTCTGAAGGAAAAAGGAGGGGTAGTGGATCTGGGGATAAAGAGGAGGTGGGGGTAGCCAACAGAAGTGAAGGGAGAAAAGCCTGTGGCTAGGATGTACTGTATGAGAGAAGAGTCTATTTTCAGTAATAACTACAAAACAAATCATCTAAGCCAATACCCTTCTTATTACTGAAAGTGTGAAATCTGAAGTCTGGGACCTGAAGAAGTAGAGTGACATGTCTAGGATCTCCAGCAACTTTGAGGTAAGCAGAGAATCCATGTTGGAAGCCCACACATTTTATTACCAGATTCTCTTGTGGCTCCTGACTGAAAGGAGAGATTCTTACTAAGCTCTTCTCCAAGAAGCTTTATCTGACAATGCAAGACACTGTAGGAAGAATGGAAAAGTATGAATTCCAAACCCATCCAATTCATTATTTGTTCATATTGACATGTGATGGGAATGTCTAAAGATGAGGTTTAGCTGTCTGCATCATCTCTGATCTCTGTTACTGGACCTCGATGTATGGTCATGTTCATTCCATAGCTCAGTTTCACTGGCAGCTCTCTGAACCAGGTGGCATGACAATTCTCCATCTTTGATTCTTCTCTGTCCTTTCTTCTGAACTTCTGTGCATCTTAGGCTGTGTTCTGCTCTAAAGTTACGCCTGATTCAGAGTCCTGTATCTGAACTTTACTTTTCAAGTCATCTTAGGTGATTCATTGAGCCTCAGTTGCTCCAACAGCAAAATGGGAATAATAATTTAAGCATTTATAAGTCTTTATCTTGAATAAGGGTTTTAAATGTGTTGAAAATGTTTAGCCAACTAGTCATTAGTACTATTATCATTCTTAACATGAAGAGTGAAAAAAGCAAAAAAAAGCTGATAGATTAAATGATATGTTCAAAGACTTGGAATGAATTTCAATTTAACATCCAATCCTTTAGAAGCAAACACATAATAATCAAAATATCATGATCAAGATTTATATATGCTCAGGCTTTACTAATGCAAAGTACTTGGTGTTGTTTATTGTTAGAATCTTTTCATTTTGTATACTGCATTTCATGTAATTTTGCTTGCATGAATGCAAGCACACTAAATTCAAGAAAATTATCATATTACTGACAACACAGTAGATTTGATGAGTATTTATTGAGTATGTGTTGATTTAATGGCATCTATACATGGCCATATAAACACAGATTTTCCCACTGACCCATGTGACAGATTAAGACTATGTTAAGGGTCAGGGCTACTAATTTGTCTTATTTTCTCTTCCTTTTCTTTTCTTAAAGATTTTAAACTAATTTATTACTACACTCATGTGGACTGCTGCTTTTTATATTGTAGACTAGCTGAAGCAGAGATTCCATCTCTGGTTTTTCCTTTTTCTGTTTTTAAAGCATGTAAATATACATTGTACCACAACTTATAAAGTCATGGTTCTACTTCTCTACTTGGGGCTCCTTCAGAAAAGTAAATCAAAGCATTCTAAAACCATGCATGCATGTAGATACCCAAGTATTATGTGCAAGATGTCTGACTTTGTCTATGTGAGTGTCCAAAAGTGAAATGTGTTTATCTTTGACATGTGGTCATTAGAATCAATGATGAGAGGTGAGTTGTTTCAAAAGTCACAAAGAGGAGTCTCATCTTTCAGTTTCTATTCTATCTTCTCACCTCTTATTCCACAGCACAATCCCACAGATTCTCCCTGCCAGGTGGGTGGCCTCAGGCATCACCTCCCTGCTTTGTCATTCATTCTATGTCACCATACCACTCAGAAACAAGAGTGACACATGTGCTACCCACCACGCCATCAGAAATTCAAGGCAACTGCTTCTCACAGCAGCTCTACTGCGGAGTTAAGAAATCTTCTGGTCTCAAGCCAGTAATATTACTTCCCATTTTCAAAGAATCTCAGCAATTGTCTGCTAGTACAAGAGTTAATATAGTATCTCCTTCCTTCCATGTGTAATCCCAGAGGTCATTGCCATAGATCTGCAAAGTTGGCAGATTGTTAAATAGTTTATACCTCCAAAACAAGCAGAGCATGTTCATTGTAGGGAATGGATGTAAAAAAATATCCCCTGCTGTAATTGGGTTCAGCCCTGTGGCTTAACACCATCTTATTTGGCAATCTTTTCCTCTTGACATATTTGGTAATCACTCTAAGGGAGATTTATTACACTCCTTATGGAAACAAACAATGCACTAAATACTACATGTGTATACATGCTGCCAATATCACTTCCTTGGTCTATTCTGGTTTTTTCCTGCAAAGTCTTTGACTCTTATCAAAATTCTCTCATCTTTATATTTTTCTTTATTTTTTCATCTTCCAAAATATCCTTTTACATTTGGAAACTTTCATTGATTAGGAATAATCCTAGCCAACATTCTGTGGTCTGTGCTTAGACAAGAGTGGAAAGAAAGAAACTTTCAGAGCTTAAAACCATTGAAAGATATTTTTCTGGCCATTATTCCCAAAACACCAATACAAAAATTTAGCATATGGTTCAAACTATAAAAATTGCTGTCTAGGTATATCTGGAAGACTCTCTGTGTATGCAAAAGAAATGAAAATATTTTAGCCAAACATAATACAACTAAGTATTTTCTGAGCCTAAGGGTTTGTGTTCATGAAGAGATACGGGGGAAGGGGACACTGGGATTTAGGATGAACAACTCCATCTCTGGGCTAAGTAAAGTACTTTAACAGCTGATGCTTCTCAGACATTTTCAAAAAAGCATACTATCCCACTCACTCAGAAACGTGCATGGCAAAACATCTTAACCAATAATCCATTTAGCACAGATTGAGAGAAGATATAGCAGAGTCATGTGGACACTTGTGGGAGAGTCCACTCTGTGTTAGGCACAGCCATAGATACACCTTTTTATTTAACACACCAACACATGTCTCTCACTGGCCTCATTTTTGCAGACCAGCTACATTTACACATATAAGACATCATGACAATAAATGACTGTGTAGTTGAAACAGTTAAATTGGGGGCCTGTGTATGCATAGTTGAAGCAGAAGATGATGCCATTTGAAAATGCTAATTAACCCTATCTGCAAGGCTTCCATGAGCCTTTGTATGCTCATTAAAAACTGACTTGCTGAGAGGAGGCCAAGTGTGATATCCTGGCACACAGTAGTAGTTTATTTAAATCCCATAATCCCTTCACAACTTACTACCTCTTTTCTTACTTTAGATATTAGATTCTATGCACACCTACATGTGAAGTTTAGGAGCAGGGTAAAAAACAAAGCACAAACTCAGAAATCAGCTGCTGGTAGGAATCCTCATTGCAGTTCTGGTGCCTAGAGGTATATATGACGAAAGCCTAAGAACACAGACCCTGTTCAGAATGCTAGGTATAACCCAGTTGTGCCTTTTATGATGCACATGATCTCGGACAAATGATTTAAGTTCTTCACATCTCATTTGCCTCACTTGTGAGATAAGGCTAGTGTTCATACCTACTTTATGATCCTATGTAAGTTCTAAGTCAACTAATCTGTGCTAATGCCTAGTAATTGTTCTTGGCATGGAGTAGTAGATGTTATTTATCTTCTTGTATACAATTTAGTGGCAAGTGTAAAGTAACTTGACACAACCACAGTCTGATACTAGTCAAGGTGTGTAGAATGCTTCTTGTAGTACTGGGGATAGAAACCAGGGTCTTGTATATAATAGGCAAGTACTCTACCACTGAGCACACTCCAGGCCTTAAAGTGTATAGAAGTCACATTGTGCTCCTTTAGTATGATTTCAATTTGTCTTAGTTAGTAGACTCTTATCATTTAGTGCCCTTTCCCGTCTATTCAGACAAGGAACAACTGAGAAGACAAGGGATAATGTCTTAGTTAGTAATACTGTTGCTGTGTTAAAACACCGTGACTTAAACACATTGGTGAGGAAAGGGTTCATTTAGTTTATACTTCCACCTCACTGTTCATTATTGAAGGAAATCAGGGCAGGAACTCAAACAGGGCAGAAATCTGGAGGCAGGAGCTGGTATAGAGGCCATGGAAGGGTTCTGCTTAGTGGATTGCTCCTCGTGCCTTTCTCAGCCTGCTTTCTAAAAGAACTCAGGATTGCAAGCCTAGGGATAGCACCATCTACAATCAGCAAGGCCCTCCCCTATCGATCACTAATTAAGAAAATGTCCTCTAGGCTTGTCTGCCTTATAGTCTGCTGTTATGGAGGCATTTTCTCAATTGACGTTCCCTCCTCTCTGATAACCCTCACTTATGTCAAGTTGACAGAAAGCTAGTCAGCACAGCTGTCAAGGTAAACTTCTTAAACTTTTATAGTAAAGTAATTGGATAAGCTTATTAAGTGCCCTGCAAATTGGCAGTAAAGGACTAGCCTTCAGAATACCTCTGCATTCAGAGCTGCACCTTCATTGATTTGTTATGTTGTGTTTCCAAGAAAAATAATAAACAAGAGACCTAAATAAGGTTTGTAAACATTATAAACCATTTTGGTCACAAATAAAAAAACCTACAAGTAAAAATGGTACTGGAGTGTAATGACTTCTCAAATGTTAGCACCATCAGAATCCCCCAGAAGGTCTATATAGGTTGTACTCCAGAGAATCTGATTTTTTGGGGTCTGGAATGGGACCTAAGAATTTGCATTTTTGACAAGCTGTTGGGTTGACACTGCTAGACTGGGAGCCACGAAAACTACTTATCCAATGTATGTCTGTCTTGCATTTCTACTACATATTTGTGATTTATGGGCAAAACATTTTATTTAAACTCTCTGTCTTAGAGATGGAACTAATGACTTTCTCTCCTCCGACAAAAAAAGAGGAAATATTTTAAATGTCTGGTGCTAATGTTTCTACTTGTTCATTAAAAATAAACTAACTGTTGTTTTTCTCCCCCATAGTTGCATACTGCTGTAACCAAGATCCAGGTTCCAAGACCTGGCTTTAACTATACGTTTGCCCACATATGTGTCCTGAATAATGACAAGACTTGCATTGTGGATGACATAGTACACGTCCTGGAAGAGCTAAAGAATGCCCGGGCCACCAATCGGACCAATTTCGCTATCACATATCCGATCACTCACTTAAAGGATGGAAGGGCTGTCTATAATGGGCACCAACTTGGAGGTGTCACTGTACACAGCAAGGACCGGGTGAAATCTGCAGAGGCCATTCAGCTCACTTACTATCTGCAGTCAATCAACAGTCTCAATGACATGGTAGCTGAGAGGTGGGAGTCCAGCTTCTGCGACACTGTCAAACTATTCCAGAAATCAAACAGCAAAGTCAAAATATACCCGTACACATCCTCCTCATTGAGGGAAGATTTCCAGAAGACCAGCCGTGTATCAGAGCGTTACCTGGTTACCAGCCTGATCCTGGTAGTCACCATGGCCATCCTCTGCTGCTCTATGCAGGACTGTGTCCGCAGCAAACCCTGGTTAGGCCTTCTTGGATTGGTGACCATAAGCCTAGCCACTCTCACTGCAGCTGGAATCATCAATCTTACTGGTGGGAAATACAATTCCACCTTCCTGGGAGTCCCTTTCGTCATGCTAGGTAATTACTGCCTTTCATTTTTCTTGTTTGTGTTGTTTATTTCCTGCTGATGGTAGTAACTAGTTTTCTCAAAGAGCCATTTAACATTTTCTTTCAGTTATAGTGTTTTCACTTGGCTGAGAAGGCCTGGAAGGAGTTCTGTCAATTAGTAGTCATCACTAAGAAGCAACCTAATGTTCCACAAATTCTGGAAAGTCAAAGGCTTAGGCTGTAGCCATGTTTCTATATTTAATAATTCTGTAGTATTTGGAAAATAGCAACGTTATCTGCGCTCTAGTGTGTTGGGATGTGTTTCTTCAAATCAGACCTGAGTAGGGGACACAGATGCAAGTAGTTTATTTAGGAGAAAACTCTAGGAGCACCAGTATGGGAATGAAAGAGGTGAGTCAGGAAGGCAGACAGCCCTGAGTATTTTAGGGTACTGCTGTCAGTACTGGTCAGTTCCCCTGGAGACTTTTAAAAGATTAGGTAGACCACTCCTCAGAAAAGTTCTCCCTGAAGGATGAAGAAGCTGAGCTATTAACACAGAAGCCCTGTGTGAGATTCACTGAGGGCTGCTCCCCTGCCTAGTTAACCCCTCTGCACTTTCCCCCTGCAGCTGTGGAAACTCCCAAGGTGACTTTGGTGAGAAGCTTTCAGGGAGTTTTAGAATTTCAAATGGAAGGGCAAACCAGTTCTGCTACCCTGCTTCCTTTCTCCATCTATTAATGAATTGAGTAGATGTGAGCATCACACAAAAGGATGTGATAAGTAAACAAGAACTTGGAAAGCATCCTGTGAAATATCAGTAGCACAGTATCTTTTTCATTAATCTTGATACGAACACCTTAGAGCGGTGGTCGTGGGGTTCTTCTGGAGTTTTTAACTGGGGAAATCATCAGGAATTCCTGCTGGAAACAGAATTAATGCTCGAAACAAAGTCACGGTGTTATATCATTAGCTCTTCTGCCTTCCTACTATTTAAGATAATATGTCTAGTACATTCAGAGGTAACGTTCCTGTGAGCCAAAGATTCAATGAGGTTAGGTTAGCTTCCCTGCCTCCCTTTTCTGTGGCAACTGCTCATCAATTCCTCTAGCAAAATTAAAATGTCACCTGGGATCAGATACCGAAGATACAAGACAGTTGTGGTTTTCTGTTGTTCTTGACTGGGAAGTCACCACAATTTATTTCACTGGTAGGCCTTATGCCATGTTTTAGAGTAGCAGGAATAATGGAATTTTCTTAAGCAATCGCTGCTGAATTACAGTTAAATAATAAGCAGGGTTGATGAAGCTACACTGTGCCCTCGATGCTTTGTGACCTATGCGAATTGAGACCTAGTCAATAAATGTATGCTTCTGTGGAAATCAAGGCACAGTGGAGAGACCAGGCAGTCAGAGAATCTGCTAGATCAATTTAGTTGTCACTCTTGAAAACAACTTAGGACAGTCTGCATCCAGTCTGATAAGAAGGCAGCCAGCGCAACCTCCCCCTTTAAACTGACTCCAAGAATCCTGAAAGAGTGGGGAGGACTGAGTATTAGTAACTTCCTCAGAGAGTTGAGTCAAGGTTTAAATTAAGATGTGTTGCTCATGATTAGTCACATGCTCGAGCACTTGGATTCTTTTTTAACTTTTCATTTTCAAAATAGTGCTTCTGTTGTTGCTTTTGCAAGACGAAGATAAACAAGGATAAGAAATTGGTTGGGAACTGAAGGGAGATACAAAGGTTCTTAAGATGACAAAAAAGGGATGTGAAAGCCTGGGAAAGGACTGACAGTTTGGTTTTATGACACTCCAACCTATTACCAGTGGTCACAAAGAACATTACAATGTTTAAAACTTCTTAAAATTAAACTTAAAGTAACAAATCCAAAACTGATTTTCTTAAAACTGTGCAAAATAAAATTAATTAGAATCTTTAAATTTTCCTCAAATTTATCCTTTATTTTTAAAGATAGTTTAGGTATTTATTCTAAGTAAATATAATATATATTATATACGCACACACACACACACATATATATATATATACATATATATGTATATGTATATGTATATGTATAAACACCAGAAAGTAATATATCAGACAATATTGGTCAGTGGGGGATGTGAGCGATGTTAAGACAGAATGATGCCCTTACAGAGGATTGTCTTTAAAAAGTGATTCCAGAAATGGTTAAGTAGTTCCACAGCTCCTTAACTAAGTTCCACTGATTAAGTATCAGTGAACTTTACCTCAGAATTCAATTCAGAAAACAAAACAAGCACCACAAAGGTAAACAAACAAGTATTTGCAGTAAAAGAGAACAAGCAAGACAGGTGCCCATTTCTCCCTTCCTTGTTTGGGAATTGTGAGGAATGGTCCCTGCATTGATTTGATTGTGGCTTTTCCTGCTAACAATCAGCATGCAACCTTTCTGTACATTTTCAGCCTGTATGGTTTTCAAATTACTTATTCATGACATGAAAGGAAACTAGACATTTTAGTGGCTAAGGCCGATTTGAAATAAAGGCATTGCACAATGTAATGGGTGTTTAATATGCCCATAAAGCTAACAATGCCTGGATTTAGGATGCTTGCCCTTCTGGATTTCTTAGATAAACTCTTCATCCTTAGAGTATGATTGTAAAATGAAATATAAGCAAGAGCAGATTCATGAATTTATTCAAGACCAATGTTTAGTTCTGTTTATTGACGACTAGTCCTAAATTAAGAGTAAACATTTCAGAAGACCAAAAAGAAATACAGTGCTAAGAGCTTTGTACGACACATAAATTAGCTGTCTAGAAATTTGTTGTATAATAAAATACATATTTATACTTAACCAAAACAGGTTATTAAAAATCTTCTTGATTTAGTTTGGCATGTAAAACTGTATCAAATCACTACACATGTGTTCATAAAATCTCTAATGTGCCAAGTACTGTACATTTCAAATTCAACTATCTCAACATTCTTAGTGTGATTGCAGTCATGTAAGGCTAGATCCAACCAAATGCCAAGATGGCAGTTGATTTACAATGGAAAATTTCAAGACCACATGTGTTAAGCAGTAATATCTTGACAAGATTCCACAAGAGGAAGGAATTTGAATAAGCCCTGAGAGTTTGTCATAATGGGATATGATTGTGTGTTTCTAGCTAAGCTGATACATGATATCGCTGGCAAAAAGAATATATCCTACACAGATGAATCAGCTTGGCAATGATGTAAACATAAATACCACATGATTTAGAATGTTTTTCATCAGTGTCTGCATATTAGACACTTCCAATTCTGCCATAACCTCTATCCAGATTAGTCAGGGTGGTTTGTAGAGCTGAAATCCTTAAAGGTCCACAGTATCATAAATGTTTATATTCATTTTTTAGTTGCTAGAATTTAGAGAACTTAGATGGTTATATTAATGTCATGGAGTGAGGTATTAATATATGTAAGCATTATTTTAATCTATTAGAAGATGTCCTCTAAGGAATGAAGATTTACAACATGGATGTGCAGATGAGTATGATTTTGGAAATTGGCATCAGTTTTGCATGTGCAAATTCTCCTTACAGATGTGGTATTTATTTATGCAGCTTCTCTTATCATACCCAAGTGAGGAATGGAGTAGGATGTTGGAGAATATGGAAGGAGCAGAGGAAGATTTTACTCCTTATCCAAATGAGAAGTTTGTTTCTCATATACATTCCATGCACATAAAAGAGAGAATTGAAGTCATTGTGGGAGATAGTTTGGATGTCAGTTTCTGTGTAGCATTTTAACTTGCAAGGGTCACTTTGCCTTTGTTGATATTCAAGCGACCTGGAGATTAGATGAGATGAAAAACACTCTTCAGTTTTGAAGAGGTCAGATGTCAAGTCCAGGCTGCTTACTTATGAATTATCTAACCAGTGGAACACACAGCACTTATATAACTTACCTAACCAGACTTCACAGTTTAGGAGACGTGAACGGGAAACAGAATGTATATTAGGTGCTAGGAAATGGATAATATCAGAAAATCTGTCTTCTTCCCGTGGTATATTCTAGGATCATCTGAATTTTTAGCAGGAACCAAAAATTAACTTCTGTTCTTTAAGGGTTTGTTCTCACTGATACCACTTGAAGTGTGATAACAATGTATGTGGCTCATCAAAAGGGTTACATTAAGAAGGATAGTAACAACTGAAAAATGTATTCCTTAATTATTCTCACTCTCAGTTTAAACAAACTTGAAATGGTTTTATATTCCTAAGTCATTAGTAACATGATGTTAAAAATCATCCAGTCAGTAAGAAAGGTTTAGCTGAAATTATCAATATTCACCCATCTTTTACCTAGAAAATTGATACTAATACCAAAATAATATCTGAATGATAAAAATGGTAATTTCATATTGCTCAACTTAATACATTATAGTAGAATATGCCATTTGCAGCAATATGGCAATCTACATGATAGACTAGAAATATAGAGCAAGATGGAAATACTTAATTTAGACATAAAACAGTTAATAGTTTTAATAGTTCCTAAAACAAACTGCTTATCAAGATTTTGTTTCTCATATTTCTTTAGTCTGTATGATTTTAAATTCTAGGCCTGAAGAAATGAAATAGTTAAGAGCTCTTGATGTTCTTGCAGAGGACAGAAATTCAGCTCTCAGCACACAAATTGGATAGCTACAACCAATGATGCTTTCTTCTGAATTTTACACACACACACACACACACACACACACACACACACACACACTGATAATAATGAAACTTTTTTTAAAAAACAAGAGTAATTCCATATAATATTTTCCAGGTTCATTTTTACCTTTTAAATAATGTTCTATAGTTGTATAATTTATAAAGAGACATGAAATCTAATTTTGTCATTAGTTCTTAGGAGTCATATCATTGTAAAGGGAAGGTAGAAAATAGCTTAAAGTGGAAGTAGAACAAATTTATCGATGTACTCCCTAAGTAGGCGTGGCAACAGCTTCCCCTACAACTAGGGGCACACAGATTGGAGAAGGATGAACTCAC